ACTCTTGAGCATAACCCAATGCACAGACTCAAAAAAGTCAAAAAAATTTTTGGCTGAAAGTTTGCCTATAGGGGTAATCGATGGTCCTGATCACGATTCTGACACTTATTCTTGACGTCAATCCAATCTGGCGTCAGAATGGCCCTGCAATTCCCTCAAACGAATGTAGCATAGACTCCAGTGGGAGAAAGACTTGGCTCCAAATTGGAGATAAATGGCACTAGAGCTGAAAGTAAATGCCATAGTCATGATCAGGGCATCGAATAACATAAGCTCAGCTTTCAGACAAGTTCTTGCTTAATGGTTTGTGAAATCGAAATCGCTGATAGCAACCTACTAACGGGCTATAACTATTTAGGATGTGCCTATAAATGGCAGATATCCGAGTAAAATTCATTAACAGACGTATATGGAAGCGACAACAACGGAAAATAAAAAATGCAAAAACGTGCAAGCCGAGGGGAGTCGAACCATCATCCCCCATCCCCACTGTCTGCTTGAGAATCCTCCACGCTATCCCACTAGCCATCGCCATGGCGTTGCACAGGCACCACTTCGACTGCTTAAGAGCCCATTCGAATTGGCCGTCGACTCTTAACTACGTGCCACAAGTAAGACCCCATTGACGACCACTTTTCTCATAGATACCAGTACAACCTTTATAAGGACCCTATAGGCAGCAACTGGCCGAACTTGCGAGTGATTTAGAGCCCATTCAGGCTCAATAACAGTCGGTTTCCATGGACTTTTTTTTCACACTCCATTTTTGGCATTCCCAGAGGCGTTCAGGAAAAATGAACACCAGTTTGGTACTCCATGCACGTGACCCCACATCATGCGAAAAACCGTTTTCAAAAAGCGCTCCACGTCCTGAACGACCTCCCTAGTAAGGGATTACTTGCCACCTTGTTTATAAGTATTTGACGGCCTACATTCGCTCAAATTTTGAATGCGGCTCAGCCTTTAGAAACCAGTTCCGCACTCAAAGCTACTCGTAGGCGCCCTGTACAAAAGTCTGGCCCTCATAAGTGCAGTTGGTGACCAGGGTACAGCATCGTTGTGTGAAAGACATAGGGGTCGTACTTTTTGGCTGGGGAGGAGGTTCGTACGTGGATTCGAGAAAATTCCCGTGGTTAGCGCGCGTTGTTGCTTTTCGCGTGATTTCTTGTGTTTCATGTGCAGCATATAATCCCCTCCTCTCTCTACAAAAACTTTGGCTGAAAAAGATGAAAAAAACTGGAAAGTGGTGAGAAAGTGGTAGGTAAGTAGTCGGAAGGGGCGGGAGTCGTACCGAACCCTTCCTTCAAGCGGGGGGGGGGGAGGGTCGTACTGGATCCATCATTTCACACATCACGATGCTGTAGCCTGGTTGTGACGCCGCCCTAGTAGTCCCGCCCACCGAAACATAAAGCCTATTTCCTGTCACGAGTTCAATTTTTACACCACGTTTTTCTTTTCATTTTGTCTTCGATGGTATTAGTATTGAATGACGCGGAGAAACCATTATTGAGCTAGAGGTGGCAGGATATCGCTTTGCTGGCATAAAACGAGCAGATCCGGAGAACTCGTCCAGGGAGAGTGCCAGGTCTCTACTTATGATGTTCAGGATTTTTTCCGCTTTTTTCTCTCTTACAGAGTTATTTAGCGACTATGGGTATGTAGTTGATCGATACTATCCACAATGTACAATCACGGGGATTATCGTCTTCATCCAGAGTTGGGAGAAGGTCATAAGAACCTTCGAAAGTGGGAACTTACCCAAGTATTCAGGAAATCCGTCACTGAGTGCAGACCAGGACGTGCAAGCCGTTCGTGAACAACATTTTGCAAATCGTCGTAAAAGAATGCATCTAAATAGCATCATCATGAATCTACTGCACACAGAAGATTTCGTTAATAAAATCGCAAGCAGGCGAGCGGTTCCAAGGGGGGGGGGGGGGGTGAGGGTGGAATGAGCTCGCCTCTGGCCGCCTTGCACAACCAATTGTGAACGTTATTGGTCGATTTAGTAAGAGAACAACCAAAAGAAGAAACGCCACGGGCGAGCTCGTTTCATCCCTCTTGACACCGCCCCGACTGATCCTGACGATGTCGACTGTACATACGATTGCACTCACCTAAGTCGATTGCTGCTCGATGAACCGTCACTGAGGCGGCTGGATATGATAGTGGAATGACCAGTCGAAGAGCCGGAACTTGTTGGCCCTCTGAAAAACAAATATTTGCTTTTTGAAGTAACGAAATAACGTCACTCAATAGAGATAAGCGAGCTAAACTGCCGACAGCGAGTTCTTTCCTACGGCTTAGGCACATTTCATGATTAGCCTATTCGAATTAGCGATTTACGTGGGAGGTAACCAGCCCCAACCCCGGCGGTTTCACGCTCTACGCCACTCGAAGATGTGAACAAGCATATGATTTAGGCCCATTCAGAATCGGTATGCCGATGGCGACCACATAGTCGTGTAGGGTGGTAATGGGGAATTGCGATAAAATGATTAAGACAGGAAATGTGGATTAATATGGGAGATCGTGAGGATTCTCATGGTAAAAGTGATGTGATAGAGTGGTTAGTATCGCTGCAATATCAATAAGGGGTAACTCAACCGAACCTGCATTCTCTTTGCCATATGCTCGCACAGTGGTGACATACTGGGGTCTCATTTATGGCGTTTTAACGTTTTCTTTTGCTTTTTCTTTACTGAATAGTCAACTACCACGTTTCTTCGAAACCCAATACCTACGAGTTGCAATCAAGACATAGCATTAGT